CAGCCTCAAATGAGTACCTGATGCTGCGTGTAAATTTAATCGCCATTGGGGATACAAAGGCGGCCGGGCGTGGTGCCAGCCTTCATAGGTGCTGCTCGCTAACAGCACTTGCCCCTACAGTCTGTTGAAGCGACACGAGGGTGGGTGGGGCCTTTGTCTTTGTTCGACGATCCCTAACTTCTTGCTCTGATATTACATTGGCACTGGGTTTGTTTTGATGTTGTCGTATTTACGTTCGTTAGTTGTTGCGATATTCTCTGCACTCGTTCTGCGTGATATTGATTTTTGTTGTCTTTGTTTTGTTGTTGTTGTTGGCGCTGCTGCTGCTGCTGATACACGCACGGCACCACGGATCTTCCTTTGCAAAACAATAAATAAAAAATTTCCGGGACAAAGGCAGACGACATCCGTGTAAGGAATCAAAATAAACTCGGAAGCACTTGCCCAAAAATCAACTCAGAAGCTCTGCCCAAAAAGTCTGTCCAAGCCCATACGGGGGAATCTGTGTCTCTGTGTCTACGTGCCTACGTGTGTCTGTGTGTCTCGCTCAGCATTCTCTCAATAAGTGTCTGCGTGTTTACGTGTGTATGTCTGTGTGTCTCATTGTCGTAGGTCTATCTGTGCGTAACTGTGTACCTCTCACTAACATTCTCTAAGAGTGTATCTGTCTGAGTGTGTGTGTGTGGGTTTTGTGTCTGTGTGTGTGGGTGTTGTGTCTGAGTGTGTGTGTTGTGTCTGAGTGTGTGGGTGTTGTGTCTGAGTGTGTGTGTGGGTGTTGTGTTTGAGTGTGTGTGTGGGTGCTGTGTCTGAGTTGATCTCCCAAGCGAAATGCTGAGGGAGGGTGGCGTTTGTGCACAGACAGCCCTATATGACATCATAACAACAGTCTGGACCACTGGACGGATTCCGCAGGATTGGAAGGATGCCCTGGTGGTCCCCCTCTTTAAGAAGGGGGACCGCACAAACTGTAACAACTACAGGGGCATCTCACTCCTCAGTGTGCCGGGAAAGGTCCTGGCAAGGATTATTCAACATCATTTTGCCAGGCACGCTGAGGAGAGGCTTGCGGAGCCCCAATGCGGTTTCAGGAAAGGGCGGTCCTGTACAGATGCCATATTTTCTGTCCGTCTGCTACAGCAGAGGTGTCGGGAATTCCAACAAGACCCACATCTCTGCTTTATTGACCTGGTCAAGGCCTATGATACCATCAGTAGGCCTGGGCTCTGGGTTGTTCTTCGTGCTTTTGGAGTCCCTGACCCCCTGCTCACGATCATTAAGGACCTTCATTATAGTGAGCGGGCCCGGGTAAAACTACGTGGCCGGGAGTCAGAGCCATTCCCTGTACACCTTGGGGTGCGAAAGGGATGTCCTCTGGCTCCCATATTATTTAACATCTATTTTGACCACGTAGTTCATGAAGCCTTCAATAGCTGTACCGGGGGAATCTCCATTTGGTACAGATATAATGGGAGGCTGATCGATGCCCGGGTGCGGTCAAGGGATGGCTCCCTATTGCTCAACCACAACATGTATGCCGATGATTTTGTAATAGCTGCTAATTCAGAGGAAGAGTTGGAGACGCTGCTGCTGAGACTGGAGCGTGCCACTAAGAGATGGGGCCTTACCATCAGCCCCACCAATACTAAGCACCTGCCTGGGTATTTTGTACCATCGGACACTCCACCCCCACAACTCCCAATCGGTGATGGGGCAGTTGTGGAGAGAGTGGAGAGTTTCCCATACCTGGGCAGTGTGCTTATGACCGGCTCCAGTTTAACAGCAGAGGTCTCACTCCGAATCAGTCGAGCGGCAATATCTTTTCATCGGTTGCGTAACGCTGTGTGGAAGCTACCTGGTCTGTCGCTCCGCACTAAGCTTCAGGTCTTCTCGGCCACGGTCATTCCCTCCCTTCTCTACGCTTGCGAAACGTGGACCCCCTTAATGGAACATCTTCGCCGGTTAGAAACATTTAGGCTGGCCTGCCTACGATCCATCCTGGGTTTAACCTGGCTGGATTGTGTGAGGAGCTCACAAATCCTTGAAAGATATGGGCAAGGTCTCATCAGTGAGCTCCTCCGGCAGGCAAGGCTGCGTTGGCTGGGTCATGTAGCCCGCATGCCCAGCCACCGCATGCCGATACAGCTTTTGTTTGACCAGATCGAGGGGGCTAAACGGGCATGGCACGCGCTAGAGAAGAGATGGAGTGATGTGGTACAGGAGGACGTGGAGCTGAATGGACTTGCCGATGACTGGTACCAGCGGTGTCAAGATCGGCCTCTGTGGAGGAGGCTCGTGAAGGACGCTGCAGGGCAGTTGGAGGCAGTCGCCCTTCAACAACAACGGATTGCGGAGGGGCGACGCTAAGAACAACGAGCGGAGCGCCGGGTGGCTAAAGCACAGCAGGTTGGCACAGTAGGGGGCACAGGTGGTGCACCAGCCAGTCATCTCAGTCATCTCAGTCAGTCGACCCGTGGCACCTGGGTCTGCCCCGTGACCTCCTGCCAGCGGGCGTTCGACACTTCACGTGGCCTCAAGGTGCACATGGCCTGGCACAAGCGTCGTGGTGATGTCACCGCCACTTAGTGGCGAATGGCGGTTGTTGTTGTGTCTGAGTGTGTGTGTCGTGTTGTGTCTGAGTGTGTGTGTGGGTGTTGTGTCTCGGTGTGTCTCTATGGTGTGTGTGTGTGAGTCTGTGTGTCTATGTGTCTATGTCTATGTGTGACTGTGTTATCTATCATTCTCTAAGAGTGTATCTGTCTGAGTGTGTGTGTGGGTGTTGTGTTTCGGTGTGTGTCTATGGTGTGTGTAAGTATGTCTGTGTGTCTATGTCTATGTGTGACTGTGTTATCTATCATTCTCTAAGAGTGTATCTGTGTGTGTGTGTGGGTGTTGTGTCTCGGTGTGTCTCTATGGTGTGTGTGTGTCTATGTGTCTATGTGTGACTGTGTTATCTATCATTCTCTAAGAGTGTATCTGAGTGTGTGTGTGTGGGTGTTGTGTCTCGCTGTGTCTCTATGGTGTGTGTAAGTATGTCTGTGTCTATGTGTGACTGTGTTTTCTATCATTCTCTAAGAGTGCATCTGTCTCAGTGTGTGCGTGCGCTGCTTTATTAATCACCGTCCACACAGGTGTGGGAAGCTACCTGTGCGTCGGTGTACAGAGTGGGGAGCGGTGGCGCAGTGGTTAGCACACTACGATACGAACCCGGTGACCAAGAGTTCGATTCCGGCTCACGACCAACATCGGCGACGAGCATTTGACCTGACACTGAGCCCTCTCCTATGTCCACTCGGCCCTAAATGAGTACTCGGTGCGTTTTGTAAACATCGGCGATGGGGATACAAAGGCGGCCGGGAGCGGTTATTGCCCATCCAGCTTACTCGGTGGGCTGTTCCGGCCTTAACGGGAATCGGACTCGGGTCGCCGGGTTCATAGCGCACGACCGCTCAGACACACAGACATATACACACGCAGACATATACACAGAGACACACACACACGCTCCACGCCTCCTCCTCCGTGTGTGTGTGTCTATGTGTGAGCGTCGTTATCGCCCGGCGCTCCGCTCGTTGTTGTGAGCGTCGCTCCTCCGCCCTCCGTTGTTGCTGGAGGGCGACTGCCTCCGGACTGCCCAGCAGCAGCAGCGTCCTCTACAGAGGCCGGGTCTTGACACCGCTGGTATCAATCATCGGCAAGTGCACTCGGCTTCACTTCCTCCTGTATCGCATCAGCTCCATCTCCTCCCTAGCCCGCGACGTGTCCGTTTAGCCCACCTCTGACCGGTCGAACAAAAGCTGCGTTGGGGTATGCGGTGGCTTGGGCACGCGGGTTACGCGACCCAGCCAAATGCAAGCCTCGCCTGCCGGAGGAGCTCACCGATGGGACCGTGTCCAGATCTTTCAAGGTTTAGGTTTACCACGCACGATCCGGCCTGGTTAAACTCGGGATGGATCGTAGGCATACACATACACACAAAGACAAAAATCATCCGAATACCTTTAACAGATTGTGTGGGGCAAGCGCTGTTAGCGAGGAGCACCTATGAAGGTCGGAACGGTACACGAGGGGGGTGGGTGGCCAGGACCACGCCCGGCCGCCTTTGTCTCCCCAGTGGCGATGTTTACACATCGCACCAGGTACTCATTTGAGGCTGAGTCGACCTAGGGGAGACCCAGGACCGGTTCAGATATCGTTACTGATGTTGGTGGCCGTGAGCGTGAATCGAACTTTGGTCGCCGGTTTCATAGCGCAGCGCTAACCGACACGCGGACAGAGACACACACAGACACACACACAGACACAACAAAACACACAGACACACATACACACATACAAGCCACACACGCAGACACACACACATACACAAGCCACACATACACAAGCCACACACACACTGACACACACACAGACACACACACAGACACACAGACACACACACAGACAGGCACACACACACAGACACACACTGACACACACACAAACATACACACACAAACCACACATACACAAGCCACACACACACACACTGACATACAGACACACACATACACACAAACCACACACACAATCCACACACACATAACAAGCCACAAAAGACAAAGATAAAGATCCCCCGTATAGCCTTAACAGACTGTAGGGGCAAGTGCTGTTATCGAGCACCTATGAAGGCCGGAACGGTACACGAGGGGGTGGGTGGCCAGCACCACGCCCGACCGCCTTTGTCTCCCTAGTGGCAATGTTTTTTTATCCACCGCAACAGGTACTCATTTGAGGCTGAGTCGACATAGGGGAGGCCCAGGACCGGTTCAGATAATCGTCACTGGGTGTTGGCCGTGAGTGGGAATCGAACCCGGGTCGCCAGGTTCATTGCGCAGCGCGCTAACTGCTACACTATCACTCCCCACAACACACAGACACACACACACAGACAGATACACACACAGACACACACAGACAAACACACACAGACAGACACAGACACACACACACGACACACTCACCGCGTCTTCGCTGCCCACGCGCGTGTATTCTCGCCTCGCTCCGGGCAACACGTGACCCAGGCGTCTCGCGACTGTCGCCAGCAACTTGTCGAGAGGAGCCATGCTGGGCAGAGAGAGAGAAGCGTGTGAGCAGGGAGAGGAGGGGTGGCGGTGAGAGGTGGATTTGATGGAGCAGGTTTGAGGAGGAGAGGGAGAAGGAGGAGGTGGAGGTGCAAGAGGTAAAGGAGTAGGAGGGTAGGAGAAGGAGGAAGTGGAAGATGAGTGGAAAGTTAATGAGTTAGGAGGCGGTGTAGAAGCAGCAGATATTGGGTGGGTGAGAGGAGAGTTACGGTGGTGGAGGGGGTGGAGGGAGGTGGTGGAGATTAAAGACGTCCGAGGAGGAGGAGGGGGGGAGGGAGGAGGTGTCGGGGGGCGGGGAGGAGTGGAGAGTGGAGGTGAGACCAGAGTGGGGGGGCTCACGTTCTCACGTCACTTCGCTGCACTCAAAAGTGCAACACGCGCACGCACACCCGCACTGACACACACACAGAGAGAGGAAGCCCCACACACACACACGGAACACACCGGTTCAGAGCTAAGCCGACCACGTGCGGCATAACAAAGACAAAGTTCCCCCCCCCCCCGTATACGCCGAAGAGGCTGTTGGGACAAGTGTTGCTTTACGCGCACCTCGCCCGGCAAGCTTTTGTCTCTGCCCAGTGCTGGTGATTTCACACTGCGTCGACCTAAGGGGAGACCCAGGACCGGTTCATATAATCGTCACTGACATTGGCCGTGAGCAGAACTCGAACTGGGGGTTCTCCCGAGTTCCATCCAAACCACTGCCCCGCACGTACACACAAAGATAAAGAGACAAAGATCCCCCGTATAGCCTGTAACAGACTTTAGGGGCAAGTGCTGTTAGCACCTATGAAGGCCTGGCACGGCACACGAGGGGGTGGGTGGCCAGCACCGCTGTCCGGCCGCCTTTGTCTCCCTAGTGGCGATGTTTACACAGTCACACCACACACACACACGTACTCACGCACGCATTCCTAAACACACCCACTCACACATAAAACGTACACTTTATACCGAGACAAAAGTCCCCAGGATAGACTTAACAAACTGTCGGGGCAAGTGCTGTAAGCGAGCAGCACCTATAAAGGCCTGGCACGGCACACGAGGGGGTGGGTGGCCAGCACCGCGCCCGGCCGCCTTTGTCTCCCCAGTGACGATGTTTTACTCATTTCACAAGGTACTCATTTGAGGCTGAGTCGACCTCCGGGAGGGAGCGGCAAATCGAACTCGGGGTCAGCCGGGTTCGTAGCGCAGCGCGCTAACCGCTGCCCCACCGCTCCCACTCGCAACTCAAAGCGCCGCATTAAACCGTTCAGCACACACCTTGCGCGTGTTGACTGAAGCCACCCACGCACCGACACCACCATTAGCATCGTTCATTCCATTGCAAATGCGCAGTCACTGTGCTGCATACCACCACCACCATCATCAGCAGCAGCAGCAGCCATGAACTACCCACTGCTGGATGAAGGCCTCCCCGCACGCCGTCACGGGGACATCTGTGAACATTACTGGACATCTGTGGGGGGGGGGGGGGGAAGAGCCTCATGGCTCATGAGGCTCCTGCGGGTGTAAATATTCTGATGGATTCTTGATTATGTCACCATCGCTCCTCTGGAGCTGATCGCGTCGCGCTCCATCTCCGCGATGGACGTGCTCTTTGTTTAATATATCCCCCTTCCTCTAGCGCAGTGGTGCTTACATTGGGGGTGCACGCACCCCCTGGGGGTGCGAGATGTCCTTACTGGGGGGTGGTGGGGGAGGGGGTGCGAGACATGGACAGATTTTTTTTAAGTAAATCATCGAAAACACAAAGTAAGCTACTTTGTTTCATCAAGCCCATGTATTTATTAACATTGTACATGTTTTAATTATTGGGAAGCAAAGGGGTTAAAGGCTGCAGTAAAGGTTAAGACCCACTGCACTACACTATACACCACACTATACACTACACTATACACTACACTATACACTACACTACTGTACACAACACTACTATACACTACACTATACACTACACTACTATACACTACACTATACACTACACTATACACTACTATACACTACACTATACACTACACTATACACTACACTATACACTACACTACTATACACTACACTACTATACACTACACTATACACTACACTATACACTATACACTACACTATACACTACACTTCCATACACTGCACTACTATACACTACACTATAAACTTACACTACTATGCACTACACTATACACTACACTATACACTACACTATACTATACACTACACTATACACTACACTATACACTACACTATACACTACACTACTATACACTACACTATACACTACACTACTATACACTATACACTACACTATACACTACACTATACACTACACTATACACTACACTATACACTACACTTCCATACACTGCACTACTATACACTACACTATAAACTTACACTACTATGCACTACACTATACACTACACTATACTATACACTACACTATACACTACACTATACACTACACTATACACTACACCTCTATACACTACACTATACACTACACTACTATACACTATACACTACACTATACACTACACTATACACTACACTATACACTACACTTCCATACACTGCACTACTATACACTACACTATAAACTTACACTACTATGCACTACACTATACACTACACTATACACTACACTATACACTACACTATACACTACACTATACAATACACCAGTGGTTCTCATGGCCAGCATTTTTTAGAAGGTAAATCATCGAAATGCAAATTAAACCCGGGCACGTGAGCACAACTACAGTACTTTGTTTCATCAAACCTCTGTGTTTATTAATGTTCAACAGTTTATTTTACGACTGAGAATCAAATGGGTGCAAGGCTACACTGATGCACAGTAAAAGGTGTCACAATTAGGGCTGAACGATTAATCGCTTTCAAATCGAAATTTGAAACAATGATTTGAAAAGTCCTATTACTTTCTTATTGGTATTGTTTTATTTTTTATTATTATTATACCTTTATTTATTTAACTTAAGAATGGTTCTATGTTTTATTGTTCTATTTCAATTAAAATTTTTAATAAATACATGTTGGAAGCAATTAATATATTTTAAGTTCTCATCCTTGCATTATAATATATGGAGCGGTTCACATTTTGATGGTATCACGTGGTAATGCTCCATCACATGTTTTACATCTTTTACACAGCGAACATTGAACTGAAGCTTGACTTACAAATTTTAATCGCAAATCAAATCTAAATATATGTTAGAAAAATCGCAATTATATATTTTCCCCAAATCGTTCAGCCCGAGTCACAATGATGCTGTCCTCCAGCCAAGGATGACGATGATGACAATTATATTTACATATGTGTATATATAAATAAATAACCTGTGGAGGGAGTTGCTGAAATATATAGCCAACAATTACAATTTATGCAGTGGTTGACGGCGTTATCATTGCTCATTCTGACGATGCTCACGCTGCTGCTGCTGTTGCTGATGATTATGATGATGATTACATTGCTATTGTTTGCTGAGTTTTTATTTGTTTACACCCCCATCCACCCCCCCAAAAAGTGCCCAAATATCCTCAAGCGTTCACCGACAAGGAACGTCAACGTTGACGTCGTCGTGGATACCGCTAATAATAATAATGAGTGACACGAAGAGGAATCACAAACACCCCCACCCACCCACTCCCATACCGTGCTCGATGGCCTCAATTCATGAGGCCCAATTTCAGCGCTGGGAGCATCTGAGCTTTTAGCTCGGAGACAAGGAAGACGAACGATGGGGGGGAGGGGGGGTCATTGTTAAACGTTGTAACAATCATAAATACCCGAAGCCCAGAACGGCAATGATCTGGCCAGCCATCCCCCCCCCCCCCCTCTCCTCTCCCCAAAGGGCCCGTCCATAAATGACGTCACGCGATTTTGGACGATTTTTGACCCCCCCCCCTCGTCACACGGCGTCACGAAAAGTCAGACCCACCTCAAATATGACGTCACAAAGCTCTGCCCCCCCCCCGCCCTCCAAAATCATATTTCCATTTTGAAAATAAAACATGCTTTCAATCGCTTCAAACTATTGTCATGGTAGTGCGTATTTAATGTGGCGCTGCACTCTGATGTTGTAGGAGAAAACATTTATTTAAAAAGTCTATTTAATTAAGTAGAACGTGTTGTCTATATTTATTTAAAGTTGCGCATTTTGATGTGACGTCACATTTCTCAACCCCCCCCTCGTCACACATCGTCACATATGTCTGACCCCCCCCCCCCCTAGGTGCGTGACGTCATTTATGGACGGCCCCAAAGAAGATCCTTTCCTCTACCCCCCCCCCCCCCCGGTCCAGAGCGTGAGGATGATGCAATGCATGAGGGAGGACGTGGAATGAAACATCGTTGTATTTAAACAGGAAACAAGGAGTGTGTAACGCGTTGCTTGAATTGATGCGAGGTTATGAGAGAATCGTGGGAGAGGGAATGCCGCGGTAGAGCGGTGCGAGGTAAGAGCAGAGAGAGGAGTGGAGTGAGATGAGAGATGAGAGGTAGGAGAGTGCGTGGAGTGGAGTGGAGTGAGATGAGAGGGGAGAGGTATGCAGGAACGAATCCGTGGAGGATCGCAATGGCAGCGCGATCTTGAAACATGTCCGGGATTGGGTGAAGCTGACGTGCTCTCCTTTGCCGGCGTTAACTGAGGGGGTCTGTCCGTGGCATCTGGAGATCGTTGGGGTGAGAAGCGTGGGGATGGAGGCCGTCGACGAGAGAGATGGACGGAGTCGCAGTGGTGGAGATGTATTTAGTGGAAGCTCGGGCGAGAAAGTTACGGAGACGGGAGATGCGAAGAATGGACGTGGGAGGCTCTAAACATTTGCACGCGGCAATCAGAATCAGAATATTTATTGTGTACTGGAGGAATTGGATGAGCTATAAAGCAGATATCCAGTCGGGCGAGTCAGAAAGTTCCAACAACAAAGACAAACAAAATAAACCACGATAGAAGAGCAAAGAATAGCAAAGGTAAACAAATCACCTTTAAAAAAAAAATATTCAAACAAAACTAAGCTTAAATTTTGATTTAAAGCTTTCGTGACTGCAGTAATTCATATTCTTAGCTCTTTCGGTAAAGTCACGTTGAAGGGAAACAATTAAATAATAAAATATACATGAAATGTATATAAATATATAACAACGTTGTTATATATATTTTATTATTTTATTGTTTCCCTTCAACGTGACTTTACCGAAAGAGCTAAGAAT